ATAGACATAAAGATATTTTTTCGTCATTTTTTCTAATTACTACATATCTATAACAACTGAATGAAAGCAAAAGAAAATTACATATGAATCCTATTAGGGTTTCATTTTAGTTAGTAGTTTTATGTTCTACGTCAAAAATAACAAAACAAAAATCTGGTTGACATACTACTTATATATATATATATATTGAACTTAAAGAATAGACAAAAAAATAAGGCAACATCAATGTAAATTTAAATAAACGTATACTTTTAACACACACTGAGGTTTTGATTTTAGTGTAATTGTCATTATATATCTTGGTGTTTTTTTTTTGAGGATATTTTACCTTTGGTATTTTTTTTTTTAACGAAAATTAATCATATGATATGAATGAACAGACGTAATCAATGAAAAACAAATCATTTTCTATCGCATTGCTTTCATTTACTTCCTGATTTAGTCAGAAAATAACATTATCATGCGTCACTATTGATAACCACAAATTATCTACATTAATGTCTTTTTGCACTTGGTGATAAAAGTACGAAATTATTTTAGTTAGACCATAATGGTTGTTTCATCCTAGTATACAGCTAGCTTATCAGCGGTGTGCATCCACAACACCGTAACTGGATATCAAACCCAGGAATTTCGGACTAGACACGTGAATGATTAGGCACTCAGCCGAGATCCAATGGTGTATACATTTTTAACATCAATCAATACGCAGTAGTGTACAACCATTTTCCTACAGTAGATAACTTTTTCGCGACCAACATTGTTAAATTCTATTGGTCACGATTTCGCGCTAGAACTCCATGAAAATATTGTGAAGCTAGTCACTCGTGAGCACATGATTGTTATTAATAAATGAGATTTGTAGAGATTGTATTGTTTTCGCAGTTGAAATCACGAATCAATCTAAGCTATTGCAACATTAGAAACCTGGAAGCAATGGACGGTCTTTTCATCTTAGTATGAAACTCACTAGCAATGCACATCTGCGCCCACCACACGCGGGACTAGAACCTAGGAACTTTTAATTTCGCGCGCGAATGCTCAGTCTCTAGCTCACTGCAACGGCATCGATTGGTTTTGATGTTCCAACTTCAATCAGTCCATGATGTTGCGAAACATTCATTTATTGCTTACGAAGAATAACTGTCTCCTAGTGAGAAACCATGACAAATAAAGTTCAATCCTTGTCGGGTAGAACTCCAGGAATTGCATGCAGAAGTTATTCATTAATAAGTATATATAATTATTATCAGTACAAGAGGATTTATATGGACTACGGAATTTCCATAGCTGGATGGACACCACATAGGAGTCCAGTAGTTCAATTCTTCCAGCATTTCAGTAGTAATCTAATATTAGTCAGTGATTTCAAAATGAAAATGCTACAATTTCCATGAATCCTGTTTGACTGACAATAATCAAATATATATTACATAATCAACCTGATATAATGAGAATACTATGATACAGATAATAAGTTTATAATAAGCCTCAATAGAGAACCTAAGTAAATCGTACTACAACATTCGTATAACTCTCACTAGCCATAGAGTACTGAGACTCACACTCAGTTATTAGCAACGTACAACTTGGTACATACGAAGTTCTGAAGTTGTAACTGATTGACTGACTGACTGACATTTAAGTTTCGGCATATCAAGCTAGCATTACAATAAGTAATTATCAAGGTAAATGTCAGAATTCTAGGAGTACAATTAATAGCATCATTTGGACATAGACAATAGGTTTTCAAGAAGAATGAAGCAATTTGTATGATAGCTAAAATATAAGAAAAATTTAAATCATAATATATAAAAGGTAAGGTGAAAAATATATGCATTTGTGTCATTAAAACTTATTCTAAGATGTGTGTTACCTAATTTGTTTTAATGACACCGGTGATGATATACTCGAGCTACTCAACCCAGGAGTGTGCCTGCATCTATCAACGTAGTTGAATACAACAATAAATGAAATCAATGTCTTATTATATTTAATATAACACATAAGATCTGATATGAATGAACGCCAAGAAATAAAGCGAAAAAAAGATAACGCATAGCACAGTAGGAGGATTTCGAGAGAGAGGGAGAGAGAACGATATGTGTCTTATTCTTTGGTTGCATTGGCAGATTTAGAGACTAACAACTCTGATAATTTTTTTTTCCGAATTCATGAAGAACAACATTTTCACAGGAAGTATATATATTCGTCAATAGCTATTATTCCCAATGTACTCATCCATATGACAAGTCCCAAATAAGACGTAGCACACTGTGAACTAAAAACATTTGTGACATAATCTCCATATTACTGGCAATCCACGCACAAAATGTACGTACATGTTGATGAAGAACTAACTAATCAAAACTTCAGTGAAAAAGAAAGCTATCAACAACTGAGGCTAATTCCTAAACAATTACAAATTCACATCTCATGTATATAAGTTAAGCGCATTAGAAAGTTGAACGAACTAGATGTCAATGTGTGTGTGTGTGAGAGAGAGAGAGAAAGAAAGATTACACATATGTATGTGCATAGAACAGAAGAACCAAGTAATCCATTAACTGTGTGCCATTGAAAGAGACACAGAGAGAGAGAGAGAGAGAGACAAAAATATAAGTAAAGCAAATAATTTATTAGTCTGTCTGAAAATATTAACAACAATAAATAAACAATACATTATTCTACAATTATTTCTTTGTCTTTTTTTTTTCTTTTCATTAAAGAATCAATATTAATTAGTATACATTTACACAGATAGATGATGATGATTATATATACATCATAGATACATTCTAGAAAGGTTTTATAATAATGATAATACTTACGACCTGTTAACCCTTAAAAATGGAGTATAAATCGCTAGCTGATGATCAACTTTTCTTTAACCGATTCAAAATGTGAACCAATCAAAGAAAACAGGAAAGTAATCATAATACACTAAGAATAATAAAAAATTAAACAAGATGAAGCAGGTGGATTGCATTATTCAACTTACTTGTCTTCCTAATGTAGATGTATCATGATTATTACGTGATTTTCTTGCTTGATATGGAAATAATATTATGAATGGTAATGGTACATTGGATAAATAACCATAATGTATTTGTATAATAGATTTCAATAGAGGATCTAAAAAATAAATAAAAGAATTTAAGAAAATAAAAATAAAGTATTATTACTTTTTTTAAAGAAAAATAAATAAAAGAATTGATTTTTAAAACAATTTTTCAACTGTTCAATTCATTTAATTCATCAATTGCAAGTGTTTGATTTATACGAAACTCGAAACAACTATAAACCAAAAGCAAAGTCAGAATTTTCAATATTAATGTCGAGATAGTTCTATTGTATGGGACGGAAACTCGGAGAACCACGAAGTCAGTCAGTCAGTCAGATGCAACGTAGAACTACGTACGTAAGTACATCAGTTCATGTTGCCATACCACATCAGCACAGAGATATAATTGTCAATTCAAATCCAATAGTAGAATAGGTAGTAAAGGTATTAGAAGTAATCGGAGAGGTTAGGATTAGAAGATATTATTCAAGAAGTATGATTCAGTGAGAAAAGTTTAAAAAGACAAAACTAGAGGTGTTGGAGAATCCAGAAGATTAGGATTTGAGAGAGCACAACGAATGAATGCACTTGCGCCATTGCAAACGGTTTTGAGCCAAATCATTCACGGTCTCTAACCATCGATTATTATCATCTCGCGGACCACAACCAGGTAGTCGACAATTACCGACATGGCTAAGTTCACTCGTCAATGACTTCATGGATTTCTGCCATGTTTTGGTCTGGCCGCCCCTAACTTTCTTCCGACCTATTCCTACACTACAACACAACGCTCGTCGAGGCAGTCGGTGGTTAGGCATACGCAGCACATGTCCCAACCACATCAACTGATGAAGTTTCATTACTTCATCTATTGATCTGCCATTGTTACCCAACACCCGTTTCCTAATATCAGCGTTGCTCACTCGGGTGTTCCTATGATCGAAAACCAGTAACCTACGAATATATTCTACTCTCATTGGCCATGTTTCACGGACATAAAGTAAGTCGGAGCGATCTACTGCACAGTACACTCGTCCTTTAATCAACAAACAAATATCTCGCCTACGCCATAAGTGACACAAGTTGGCAAAAGCCAATCAAGCTTTCTGTATCCGCGCTGAAATTTCGTCAGTCACCAGGCCATCAGCTCTGATGAGACTCCCCAGATAAGTTAAGCGGTCTATACGCTCGACTACGTCACTCCCTATCACTAGTTCAGGTGCCGATGCAACCCAATCTTGAAGCAGCATTTTGCATTTCGAGGGTGAGAACCGCATCCCGAACATGCTTGCATTGTTGCTTAGGCTAGTCAAAAGACTCTGCACTTTGTCAGCGTCTTCATCAAGTAGGACTATGTCATCGGAATATTCTAAGTCGATAAGCGAGCCTCCTGGTAAAAGGTCTACTCCTGAAAATTCAGACGAGGATAAGGAGAACCACGAAGGCCATCATCCGGAAGATACAAGTATATAGTTGTCTATACAAGATATTGTAGATACCATGTGCAACAACCCAATGTGGGAGAGAATAAACCGGATTCCAGTAGACGAAAAAATCAGGAAGAGCTGCTGGAAGTTGATAGGACACACGTTAAAGAAAGCACCTAACTTAGTCACAAGACAAGCTCTCACGTGAAATCCTTGAGGCCAAAGGAAAAGCGGAGGATCAAAAAACAGATTCCATCGAGAATCGGAAATGAAAAGAATAGACACTAATTTGATAGAATTGGAACAGTAGACACAGGACAGAGTGGGCTGGAGAATGCCGATCGGTGGCCTATGCTCCACTAGGGTTAACATACATAACTAAATTAAGTAAGTGCAGTTTGATTATCAGGATTGAACATTTAATTAATCTTTATTGATAATAAGTTATATGCATTTTGTACAAGATTATTTAAATAAACATTTGATTTTGTTACAAGAATAAATGGATTGTGTTAAGCAGTTGAATCTACAATACAAGTTTCATCTTATTTAGCATATGTTAGCTGAATACATTTATATTTTATAATATTGACGCTTAAATTGGGCTTTCGATGTGGTAGTAATTACGTTTTCACTTCAAACACAAACGAGTTATATATGGTAAGCTACAAAGTCCAGATAATTAAAAAAAAAAGAAGATAAACTGGTATGATATTTTTAACATCTTAAGTTACTATTTAAATCCAATATTTTCTGAGGATTGATTTATTTTGCAAAGAGATTACAATTAATATTTTAAAAAAATCGTCAGTTAGATTGCTACTATTAACGCACTACAATGTCAGTATAACTTTTCCAAGAGAATCCAGTTAAAAGCCTAACATTGAATCATACTGAAGATTTCATGATACACTAGACAACAAGATATTTAGTGAAATCATGAATAGATCAACGTCAGATGCCGGCTTAGCGGCCTAGAGACTGACCGTTCACCAGCGTCACCAAAAGTCCTAACTTCGATCATCGCTTGCAAGGTTGTGGATGCTCAATGTTGATTAATCCCATATACTAGGGACTAGTTGAGCGCTGCACAGTGCCAAAGTATACTCAGCAAAAAAATAGCTGGACCTTATGTGTGAGATGATAGACACAATGTAGAAACAAGTCTCAGTGTCTCACCGTCGAATATTGTGAAGTTAAGTAATGTGTAACTATGTCTTGATGACGAGTTTCAACTGACAAGAAATCTAGGTTTAAAGTTTCTTGTTCACTACCTACAACTACATAACATGTCAACACAGTAAACACTAAGTTGGATCACTTAGACTCTGAAGATTACATTGCAACTTGATCTATATAACTCAATAAGCACTAGATACAATCATGTCATCGGTTAATTTACTCAATGGTAAGTTAAAAAGTTCCATAAAAAAAGAGTTGATTTTGTTTTTTTTATCAGAACATTAAAATTCAAGATGAAAATGAATGACAAAGAATAGTTGAAATTTCTTCTTCCTTCTTTTGGTTGCTATTGAGAAATCATATTCGTAAAAAAAAAAAAAAAATACATACACCAACCATAAACATAAACATAATTTTGAAATAGACTATTAATTATGATAAATAGCTTTGATTTCAATAGATTTCTATTTACTTCCATAATAATTCCTGTCTATATATACCATTCTCATTAGTTTTCATAGACAAATGAACGGAAATACTTAAAATGCGGCCAATACTACTATTAAACTTTGAAATGATGACGGAAAAGTAGATTTTCATATTACTTAAATGAAGAACAGGAAATACAATCCGACAGAGAGAGAAAACAAAAAACGACCTAGATAGTCAGTTGGTCAACTTTCATTTATTAAATTATAATAGAAAGTAATACGGTAATACAACTAATTCATGTTGAATTAATATTGCTTACATTTAAGTTAAAAATAACAGCCTGATGAGTCTGTGAAGGTGGACAGTTAGTTGTTATAAATAACATAAAACCCTGAGCATATTAGGCATTAGAACAACACATATAAGCGAACAATATTGTTTTCGATTAGATCGTCATCAGGCTTCACTCTAATATACATGAATATTTATATGAAAATGTTAAACCAATCAAGACAATTTGAGTGATAATCACAATGAAATGAAAAAGGCAAAAGTACAAGTGGATAGTAGGAAGATAGGTGAACCGATAGTAGTAAGAAAATTTATAAAATATGATAACTAAAGTAGGTCAAGGGTGGATGAATAGAATTCAAATAATCATTAAAAAACATCAAAAACATTACGTAATAAGCAGATGTGTAAAATAATAATAAAAATAATAAAATTAAAATAAATAAAATATATATAATGTCAATCGCTAGTTACGTCATATCCGGCCACGGAAGAGATAGGGGTGTCACGAATTTCTTCTGAACACATAAATTAGGGTTGAATGTGCGTATTCCTATGGCTTCTGTAATGTGTAGGAGACGGGATCGAACTCCGTTGGGAAATGATGGAGGTATACGATAGATCACCCGAAAAGATCTAGATTTATCTGCAATGTGACCAGTATCTACCAGGTGTGCTAAGATAGAACTGCGTGTTGTTTTTGACTGACCCTTTGTAAACCATGCTGGGAGATGTTCACTCATTCGTTGTGTAAGTTGCCTGGAAGTACGCCCGATATAGCTATCTCCACAGGAGCAGCTGAATTTGTAAATGCACATAGAGGAGGCCAACTCAGGTAACTTATCCTTCGTTTGGGTAGACATCGCTGGTCGACTGGAGAAAGTCAATGCAAGTTTGGCAGCGTTGAATGTTCTAATAATTACTCTTATTAATCTGTCCTGCAGAGTATCGCAGGCCACATCCCCGTTGAATTGTAACTTTATAAATAAAGGTTTCTTTTGGGCGGTCGAAACTACCGACTTCTTTCTTACGGCAGACACATACTTCTTTATGAATGCGCTGGGATAACCAATCTCGGTTAGTGAGTCGTTGATGAATTCCAGCTCCTGACTTAAGGTATATTAGGCATTGCATTGAATTGTCATAGTGAATCAATATAATGAGATGAAAGCATGAAGGTGAACGCCAGAGTAGAGTATTAAAATAAATAACAATATCAATGATAGTAGAAAAATATTTGAAAAGGAGAAATAATGAATTCATAACATAAAAAGTGGTAAGATAATTAAGTTCTAAGAGAAGACAATGAGTTTATGCACAAGTGCCACTGAGGACGATTCAGATCATGTTACACAATCACAATCGTGTCTACTTTAAAAACTATGTAGTAGTTTACATCTATCTACCAACCTGGCTCAAACCAAACCATATCATACAAAGGACTTAGCTAACCTTAGGTTTCTTTGCAACCAACTGCACTATATCAATAAATATAGTGTGCCGAAATAGGCAATGGTTGCAGTCCCTTAGTATATGTATGTAACAACCATAGCCATTAATGAAGATATGATGACAAGGATAACATTATATATCATTAAATACAATATTGTAGTTAGTTAGCGACATATAAACAAGAAGACGATGAAAACTTATTTTCATCACAATGTATATTTCATAATGTAAATTATCAGCATACATATATATATATATCCATGATTGAACATTGAATTTAGTAATCA